TTGATCGACGGCAACAACGATAAAAAGAATCACCAACGATAGATACTTATAGATAGAACCCTTAAATCAGTGCCTTCGTGTGCTTCAGTCGGAGTACAATAGCACCCTGCAGTATTCTTGCCGAATTTTTTTTTTCAGATATGCACTACCGTTAGTTTTATTATCCAATAGGCTGTTGGACCAGAAATTGTACAGTATAAGTGTTTTATCTACAGGGTTATACGAAAATAATGAAAGAGAAAAAAAAAATCTTTTCACTTTTCTTATAATTCAATATTTTCTTTTAGCGTAATTGCTATTGAATTTTGAAGATTTTTCGTCTAATTATAAACACGTACCTCACCGTGTTCATTTAATATGCATGACAGGATAGGAAACAAAGGACTCTAATTACTATAGGCCTGCTACTACACAGCAGGTATTGCATTAGAACGGTGAAAGTTAGCGGGAGACTCCCGCGGTGTGGCGCTGCGGTCTGGCAATCAAATCATGTCGGCTAATTAAATACGTAATTACAATATCAGACACATAAATGAAGTTAGATGTGTGGGGAAATGTAACTCGAATATTAGCGACATAATTGAAACTTGTCTATCATTTTAAATAGTAACTGTCTGCTAGTAATTAAATAGCGCAAGTTAATTACTTCTTAATTGATTTTATGCAGATAAATTACTAAAACATAAATTTAGATACAACACTTACATACAAATTACAAATCGTCATAAATTTCGTTATGTTTTGTTATAATCTCATCGCTGTTCAAGAAGAAAGTAATTTTCTACTTAACATTAATAGCGATTGTCTAAGTCTTCATCGCCGTTTTACATAATTGGAAAGTAAAAGACGAGTCTCTCGGCGACCTGGTCAATGCTAGTGCATGCGTGTAATAAGGATCGAAAGCTATTTTTTCAAGTTCATCTCGCTCAATCAAATCATGCTGGCCAATTTGATGTCAATACATTACATCTAGACACAGCTTTAGCCATAGATAATGACCATTATTTAAAGGTAAAATCATAGGTATCTGACACTGTTCAGGAGTTTCATTATCCGAAATCAAAAGATAATATCCGTTATTATGGTCAAATTCGCGGTGAAATGAACGCGTACGTACAATCTTTCTCTAGGATAGCTTATCTAATACGTGGAAAATTACCGGTCTAATGACACGTGTCAAACACGTGAAATGGAACCCAAATGTCCAAATCACCGCTGATTAATACTAGCCGAATATAGCTGAACCATAAATGAGAGAAATCAATCTATCATACAGGGAAATAAGATCGATAGATAAACTAGTGAACAATATACAAAAAAAATGTATTGGTGTTTTAATTATACGAATCGTGGGAGTCGTGTGTCAAGTAATCTATACTCATAGCTTAATTACAAGTAAATCAATTACTGTTAATGAACGTTGATTCTAAGCTTTCATCATATAACTATGGCTAGGCTAAAAAAACATCGGTGGCACTGAGGGAAATTCAGAACGATGAAAACTGGCGGGAAATTGGTAATCAATTGAGTTGAAGAGATGTATTGTAGAATTCTCGGGATAAAAAAAACCGTGAGAAGTGTCTCGCTGTTTACAGAAATAAAAACATCAAAGAGACCTAGACTTCTGGCTACATGAGTTCCTAATCACCCAGAGAGAATACAATTTGAATAATATTTGGTAACTCTTTAAAAACACATTCCTTACTCCAGACTAATATCGTATTCCATTATTTAGAAACAAGGTCGGGGGCGTCGATGACTGTCAGATATATGTGTGTGCGTGTGTTTAGTCACGCTGCATGTACATGATAAGCTGTATTTAATGTGCGATGAGGCTTTGTGGAAAGAGGTAATTAGGATAATATTTTACTTTCCAATTGGATTCGGCAATACAGGTATTATTTATTTAATAAGATGACATGAATCGCTGTCAAAGTTCTCGGTATATCGCCAATTAGAATGAATGATAAACATTCATTTCGTTTTATTCCGAACTTGTGAACGTAAATACTAATTAAAGCAGTTGATAATAATGATTTTGTAATTGAAAAGTCAAAATACTGTTTATCACACCTTATATGGATCATCGGAAAAGTTCAGCTGTATGTCTGTAAAAATAATGAAATCATCCATTCTTTATGCTGGTAATTCAGCGCAAGGGAAATTGGGGTTTTTATCCATTGATTTTCATAAAAAATATTGTATTGAAAATTAAAAAATGATTTTCAGAAACATATATAAATTCTAAAGAATGACCTATGATTTTAATTTAACTTTAAAATCACGGGCAGATGTTTTTGTAACCTTAAATCTTTCTGATTAGAAGTTGAAATATTACAATACATGTTACCTTTGCATCAATTTCATTTTTAAAAAAAAAGAGAGATATGCAGTTCTAGAGAGAAAACGTTGATTTCTTATGCAAATAACACTCTCAATATCTCTCTCCCTAGAATTCACAGTGCGCATGCGCCTCATTAATATTCATTGATATTTATGCTTAGACCACGTAACACCAGATAAACAAATTTAAGTTACGCAATTATGTTAATTACATTGTTATAGATAAAATGCGTAGATAAACACAGGGACCTGTTACACTGGCATCAAACCCGATTATATTTAGTAGTAGTTAAATGAACATTCATAGTTATTTCGTTTAACAGGGCCCTGTGTACCTAAAGTACACCATGACATGTAAATAGTTTCCAGGGACCGTAATGTGTGTTAAATGCGTTTTATTTATAATGATTTTCCAAATGATGATTTTTTTTTCTATTCTTGATGGCGGCTTCAATCTGTATCAAATGGCTGTCAATCTAAGTTGATGTGTAAAACATATCTGTGAAATAGGTTAATTGGACAGAAATGAAGGAGAAAGAATTGTTTAACACATATAAAAGCTGTCTTGTGTAATTATATCTAAAGTTATACAGAGTTAAGTTACTTATTTTAAAAGAATTTATAGGATCCACAGGTCTTAAAAATATTTGAATTAAGGTCTATGATTAGATGAGGACATCCAAAAATATTTATCCAAAATGAATGCAGTATTCAAAGTAGTGACGTTTTAGATAGGAATAATCATTGAATACAAATGGACAGAATGACGATCTAATTATATTTAAGACTTGTTAAAGTTTCATAGATGACTTTATCAATCAACTTCTGGGTCAGGGGTCAAAATATCATCCCAAATAACGTGATTTTAGATTTTATTTCACTTAATGAAAACAACTGTGAAAAAGTCACTCACTTCTCCAAATTAGCAATTGTTGTAGATTTAATGTTTTACGTGTGCATTAAGGAAATTTTATATATTACCAATGACCAAAAGCAGTCTTGTTAGGACCAAACTAGAAACAGAGAGTGTTCTTTAGAAGAAAAAGATATCTTCTTAGCAGCTAATTTCCGACATTCATTAGAAAGGACAGACTTTAATCACGATGATGTCATTTAATAGTTTTATGGAATACCGTAATTTGTTATTTAACTAACTGTTGACAATTTTTACATGTTTTCCTATTTTGAATTAGAAGCCGTTACCTCACCTGCGCCCAAAAATGAGTTCTGTGTTCAAATTTGACCATATAACTGTAAACAGTCCATTTATATTCCCTACATTTCGCCTTTCTCCAACAATACAACATAATCTTAATTCAAATTGAATTTGATGGGACTTGGGCAAAATATTAACTAAACAGAAATTTACGCGGAGAATCCTGGAAAAAGAACATGGAGAATAAGACCAGGTGTTCCGGAAGGGTAAAAGATTCCTATTGAAACTATTCATTTCATAAATGGTAAGATAAGGTGACATACACTTTAATTTAATGAAGGTGAAAGAAAATGATAATGAGATAATGCGTAAATTCTACAATGATCTGACTCCGAAATAATTTTAAGATAGCGCCGACAACACTGCTCATCGATATTATAATTTCCGATCGGAATCCGGGTCGTATTATCCGGCCGTGTAATCCTATGTTACACTGTGCATTAGCATGTCTTCTCTACAACATATACTTACGTCAGATCAATATACACTTTATTATACAAACCGTTTCACGTAGATATTTGTCAGACCATGCAACCACCGGATTATAAGATAAATCCGCGGTGTTATGTGTGGAAAAAAATATTAAAAATCAGTCCGCTGTGGCAGTTTATCATTATTTTCATAAAAATGTTAATGTTCACAGGAATGTTATTATAATTCTATAGAATAGGATACGGCGAAGCTGTTACCTAAACAACCGTAGATAAATGTAGACTCAGAGTATGTATGTCAGACAGTAAAGCTGTACTGATGTAACAAAATCGTTGTTATTCAGCTGTGATAGCAGAGAAAGGACAATTATTGAAGATCCATTGCTATCAGTGTCAATTTACAATATACATTGTGCGTATGGAATTAAATATAAGTTACTCAAATAATTGACATTCCACGGCAGATCCATACGCCCCTTTTAACCCCGGTCCCACCCATCCACTCCAATAGAAAGCAATGTTAATATTCAAGCATATAAAAAGAAGCGTAAATGCCCTTAATCAGTTATTTTACGCGATAACCTCGGAAATAATTAATTAAACGACGTGATAATCTTCCGCTACACTTCACATTGGCTTTACATGGCTGGGCCGATCCGTAGTAATTGTAGATAAATTAGTTTTATATGCGTTCTGATAAGGGATTTTATCGGCGTGAAGAAACTAGGCTATTAATGCTCTTCTGAAGCATACACATCGTCATTTCTAATAAAATTTTGAAATAGGCATTAACATTTTTCTGTTATTTTAAGGCAACATAATTCGACGTGTTCAACTGAAATTTCGCCATGAATTTGAAATGACTTAATTTGTACGATTGTCTATGGTAGAAATAAAAGTCAGGAAATAGAGAAAAATTGTTTAATTGGGATTCAGTTCATTAACGTAAACATAGTTATAGGTTATCAAGGCTACTAACTATATTGGTGTATGACCATGTGTCTACTCACCATCGTCTGTCTTATCGTCCTTGCTATCAGCCAGGATACCGTCTATACTGTGTTTGTTGCTCGCTCTGCCGCTGACGCTTACATCGTCGTTGTCGTTGTTTTCTTCCTCTTCCTCCTCCTTCAAAATGGCTTCTGCCTCCAGGTCCGATTCGGACTCGGAGCGATGAAATTTACTTCGAAGTACCCTACTGATGGAGCTGACACTTGGCACGGAACTGCGATCACACATGCCTTCTTTTAACAATCTATCTCGTATCTCCCAGCTAAAAATTCCAGGATTTTCCTTCTTGTAGTTTTCTATCCTCTTCTCCACTTCCGGTGTGGCGACTCGAGGTTTGCTGCCTCCGATAACTCCCGGTCGAATACTTCCGGTCTCTTGGTAACGCTGTAGAATCTTACTAACGCAGCCGTGTGAAACTCTTAGCTGACGACTGATGACGCACGGACGCACCCCCTGGGCTGCTAGCTCTACTATTTTGAGGCGTATGTGATTTGGGAGGGGTCGACCGTTTATGAAAACTCCACCAAGTTGATTTACTCGACCTTGGCCTACAATAAAACGAAAAATAAAATATTACAATTCTCGTTTTCGCGGTAAAATTTATATCAATACTTTATGTCATTAAATTGCTCACGTTGTTTGTGTTTAAAAACACTAGTTTATATCAAGCTAAATTTTTATTGTATTTGTCATATTCTGAAACATAAAAGATTTTTAATCGATTTCGATCGGGTAGTTTATTCAATATTAGGTGTAATTAATATAAGATTGTTTATGAAATGTCTCATCTCATGTGTCCAGCCCCTGTGCTGATCCGGTTTAAAAATGTGTTGTGTTTCTTTGTCTTAAAACGACACCACACTGACCAGATATTGATCACGTGGGTCATTGTTGTACATTATCACATTTACTCTTTTAAATGATATGTATATTTCAGCTCTTTTTGTCTTTTTCTTGTATAAAAACAAACTAACAAACAAATACATCGAATCTATAATTAAACAATATGTGATTTTAATAAAGTATTTCAAAGATGCTACATTTTAATGAAACCGTAAGTTCATACATAGGTTAAACCAGTAACAATTATTTCAGATTAAAGTGAAGATTAGGTTACCGTTGTATGCAATGTCTTATTTGAATTATCGTATTTAGACTATTGGTTTTATTCAGTATATCTAACTAAACAGTTAAAATAATTCGTCAGTTATAGGTCTCAACTTTCAGTAAAAATAAATGGTTTTGCAAGTTGAACTATTAATAATATCAACATCAAATGGAAATATATAAATAAATAAATAATAATAAAAAATAGCTAGCGACGATACAACTTTTATTTATTGTCGATACTTGAGAGGAAAATGCGTGTGATTTTCAATAAAAACTAATAGGTCATCATATTATTTCATAATTAAAAATAATATCTATTGCAAAGCTACAGCATAACATATATGCATAGCATGCCTTGTTCAAACCAGTAGTTTAGGATGACATAAAATTTTGTTTTCTGTCTATAATAATGAACAGCTGCCATCAACGGTCCTCTCATTTAGTCCGAATATCCACATATCGAGTAAAATTAATTCATATGTCCTTAATTTACTTAAATATCGCAATAAACAACGTGATTACTATTTATATGTCTCGCGTGCGGCTACTGACCTAATCAACCGTGACAAACAGATGATTTCATACCGTAGATTGACTCATAATTCGCATTACCGAATCAACCACAAAACCGCGAAATCTTTACACTATTTACAAAATGTTCAAATCCGATTTCTGTCGGACAAATATATACATGTACATTTTGACGTGTGTCCTACCTTTCAATAGCGCTTCAGATTCCATGCGGGCGAATCCCATCATTTTTCGATGTGTAAAAATCCCCCAAGCACCTGTCCCAAGCAATTTATATTCACATACACGGTAAACGATCTGCGTACAAGACTCACACAAACTGATCTTGTGAGCGTGAATTTTTATCTCATCATCTAATATGCAAATTAGTTTCATGAATAATTTTGCCAGAAACAATCACGGAAATCAGCAGTAGGGACCTGTATCGAGTTCTAAGGGAAGGATTGGGGCTAAGGGCCGGGGAGTGGGTCGGATCAGGTTACCATACAGTCTGGTGTATTTCTGTATTCATCTTATCCGGACGATATATCTTACAATCAATTAACTTTGCCCAATGAAATATCATTTGGTCTACATGTGTACTCAAAGAGAAGTCCGGGTTTCCCAAATCTGCTCTCACCCTTTGAGTCGATATGCTTTAATAGCAAAAGACCCTTAATCAGTTTCTGATGAAGCGGGACGAAAGTTTCAAACATCAATTCCAAAACTTTCAAACGATAGCAAATATGGCTATATCACATCTACATCTGGATTGAAATTTAATTTAGAAATTAACAGAACCTCAAAGACCTTGAAAATCTTAACAATATCCTTAAGTTTTACGATTTTATTTGGTTACATGGCTGCGTTCAGTAACTAACAGGTGCTAATCATGTTTAGTTGTTCCGCTGGAAGATTATATATACATTATAAATATTATTCAGTAATTTTACCAAATGTGTTTTGATTTATGAAATAATATTTTAGGCAGTGTCTTGTAAGTCAATCATGCTGAACAATAAACAGATTTATATATTGCGTGATACTTTAATTAATTGATTGATTGATCGATTAAAAATCTCCTTTTTTCGCATACTTCTGCCCGTTTCATGCCAATCTGCTGTTTATTTTAATTATTTATTTCATTATCAGTGATGGTCAGTTAGTTCTAAAAATTTTTTATTTCGCTAAAATTCATAAACGCCTTTATAAAATTTTATCTCATTATGACTGTTAACATTTTGAAAGACAAGTCAAAAATTCAATTTTGTCTAATCTAATTTTAACAAAATTCAAATTTCAATTTTTATGAGACACACCCATTAAACACTTTCTTAACAAATTACAACTCGGAATGAAATCAAAATTGTTGGATATGCAGAAAGGAAAATAGACACATTAAGATATCGAAGGGAAATTTCTTGAAAGAATATGGGTAAATATTTTTTCGAAGTTATTTTGATATAAATTAATTAAAGTGTATCAGTTTGGATGGCTTCCTCTTAGATGCTGTCCGGTCAACGCTGTGATCTCGGTGTTCGTTCGTACCTTGACGCGAGGTCAATTAAAACATTTCATGGGGCATGCTGACGCAAATTCCCGATGTTTACACTAAATCAGGCCGTGACACACCATAACAGACCCTCGTGGTGGTAATGGAATCACTTGAAACGTTTCATTCGACTACAGAAAATCAATTTAATTTGGAAATCAAAATTTAGATTAGAAATTTCGATACTTTTAAATCGTCGACGATGCTGATGTTATACGGATTAAATCCGTGTCACAGAAAAGTTGGTTTAGCAAATAATGTTTGATTAATGAATTTCTCGTTGTTTACGTTTCATTTCCGTATTTGGAATGTAGTTTCAAATTACATGTAATCACAGCATGTAATGACACTCCTACATGTAATTACACATATACTTTATGACAATATCCGTAATTATATACCCTAATCTAAATATAGACAGCCCGATGAATAATAGCGATTAAATTGTCTCTTACATATATATGCTGAAAATTCTTTTTAATATTTTTTATGAACAAATTAAAATGAAAATGTGTAAATATATATTTACCTTCCATCTGAAATGTAGGAAGCAGTCCCATAGCAGCCAAGTGATAGGAAAACATGTTATTGATCATCTTGTTTGGGTACATGGGTGATGAGGTTCTCCTCTTCTCTCGCTGTTTCACTAGGTATTCTAGTTTCCTCAGGATCCACAATTACAGGGAAAATTCCACACAATTTTGTTATCCACTTAGATTTGAAATCCACGATTGATGATGTGATGTGAAAGTTACGGATATAGATAACACCTCTACGCTGATTAATGATATAGTTTTACCTGTACCAGGTAAGTTCATTTTTCAGGTATGCAATCAATTATGAGAGATTTTGCCTTTTTGATTGTAGAGATGTTTTATATCACTAAAGGACAAACCATTGGATCGCATTAGTCACGTGATAGTAGTTATACTGTGTAAAATTAACCGAAGCAAGACTAATTTGTCTCCAGAATGTCACTCTCGGATTCATCAAAATAAACCCGTAAGATTGACAAAACGGGGGCGGGGCTCACAGGTAAAACTACACAGGTATCTGCAGAGATACAGTGTTGTTCATTTCTCTTTCACCTGAGGTAAAATGGGCGTGGCTGAGTTTTCAATCGGATTACATTGGCGACTAGAGACCTGGAGCAAACGACGGGGAACTCAAGTCTGCATAATGTTACACACACAAAATAAACCAGAACGTATCACGATTAAAGCATCGCTGTTGTGTTTGGTTGTTACTTTCAATTTCACTTTTTGTCCCCGATTGACAAAAAATGAAATACGAATTCATAGAATTCTTTTTTGGCGTTTGCAGCCTGCCTTGTATTAAGCGACGCGTTGTCGGAGAGGGCGGGGCACTCATGATTGATGAAGGGGAAAAAATGGATATTTTAATACATGTATACAGAGGCGGGGAATATATATTATTGAGGAATATCATTAAATTAGAAGAAGTTATTCTCTTTTTTTTCTATACGAAATTACTACCGGTTTTAACGTTATCGGGAAATAATCTAACAAACTGGACTAGCAAACCATTCTCTGTCCTAATCACAAGATACATATTCCAGCAGGTGACCGCTGTATCTTAGCTTAGTAGGAAACTCTTTCAAGTGGAAAATACTGACGACATGTTTTGTGTAAGTCCGGGAGCGTAGAAAATTAATGAGGGATGTGCAATATCATATTGTTAGGAGCATGAATTTGATTCATGAGCACAGCACTTTTTAAGGAACAACAACGAAAATACAATAATGACAGCGTTTTTGTCACATGACTGGATAGGATACTGTTTACTTTTGATTAAGTGATGATAAAACATTTTAAAAGAAAGTTTTTTAACAACTTGATAATCTATTTGTTTAATTAACAGATAATTTCCATGAGTGCACATGAAAAACAAAGTTGATACATGTAAAAGCAATATTGAATGTTAGAATAGTTTTTTAAGGTTTATTAGTGACAAAGAATGATTTTTAACCAATTTTCACAGTATCGTGTTGTTTCCAAAGTCTTACTTTGAGTTTTTGCAATAATAACCAAAGTCAACCTTTTCAAAGCCAATGATTGTAAACTACAAATGAATGATTTCCCCCCCCCCCCCCGTAAACTGCGGCTGTTGTTACAAGATCTTACTTTTTGCAATGCTGTCGGGAAATCATTATCACAACTCATTAAAAAATACAACTTGATAAAGGAACGTTTCCTCCTTTAGATTAAACATCATATCAGTCAATATTCAATAAAATTATATATACATTTTACATATGGGATGAGAAAAACTAGCTTAGAGTTTAAATTAATTTCTTTTGAATGGTACAGATGACACATTATATGACCTAAATTTTTCACTTAGATAAGTATGATTTTGGACTGTCAAGAATATTTCATCGTTTCTTGGTCTTTTTAGTGAGTATCGTTTCCCTTCAGAAGTGTCTTAGTAACTTAGCTTGTCTGAGTGCAACACATTTGTTACAAGGTGCCCGTTTAGTAGGCATTGTTGCACTAATTGTGTAGTTCCACATCTATCACTTTATAAATGAAAAATTGGACACTTCAATTAATGTGTGACTCAATTTATATAGCATGTATCCTTCGAGTATAATGTAACGTATTTTGTCGATAATGACTATTGTAAACATGTCTTCAGACTTAACTTTTGTGAGTGTATATATTTCCGTAAATGTGTGTAATTGTCATGCAAATATCATTACCATTTGAAATATTTATAAACAATGTATTACTGAGTAATTTCTATAAAGTCAATGTCATTATTAAATATGTATTAAACACAATGGGTTTATTACCTATTGCATATGAAAAATTTTATCGGGTGAAAAAAATCCTAAAAGAGATAAAAGAGTTAAAACATTGAAATGTTTCGGCACAGAGCAAAATGTATCTTGATATGAAACATTTCATTGCCGATATCAAAATGACGAATTAACTCTTTTCCATCTTGATTGTAGCCTGTATGTCATGTTTTAATTAATTCGAAGAGAGGCTTGGTTTTAGAATATGCTCACTTTTGAAATTATCAGACATATGTAAATTGTTGAGTAATGGGATAGCACACTTACCTATCTAGATATTTATGTTACTTTCCATCACTTGGGATTTCTCTCAGTCGCCTCGTAAGTTTCAAACTTGAAGCCTTCAGCATCACTGCTGAGTCCTGGAAGGACAAAACAACTGTATGATGCAGTTTAACCGATATTCTTCTTCATATAAATAAAGTAGGATATTAATCCCAATAAACCGATAAAATTGATCATTTCCATATATTGATAATTTCACAATATGGTCAAGTTTATGTGTATATTCAGAACCGTGCAATTGTTTGAAGTTTTAGTTTTTGGACAAATTATACTTCCTACACAATGTTGCTTTATCTCTGGTGTATAACAAACGTTTAAACACTGTTTTTTTTAAACGGAATAAAAATAATGTTTTCGTCGCTCAAAGCATTTATACAAATTTACCAATTTGTAAAATACAAACTATACAAGATATCAGTGTCGCGTTTGAATGACGTTTAAAACTTAGGTACATATATTAGACCTCTGCCAAACAAAAGAAAAACATCTGTCTTTTAAACATTTTATTGAGCAATCCAATCATTCTTTTTTTAAGAATTTTCCCCAAGATAACCCAGTGGTTAGACAAATTATTTACAATTCTGTCGAGTAATAATACTTATCTAAGAATCGTTGAACGAGTAATCAATTTGCAATTTATTTTTTTTAACTTTATCGCTAAATTAATTATCCCCATAATGTGAAATATAGGTGTTTTCAGAATTCCCTTGTGTTGAGCATTCCAAATTCTCTCTAAATTCTAGGAGTCCCATGGAAATTATATGGGTACAGGACTCAGGACTCGCATGTAAATTTATTATAGCTTTTATCACAAAATATTTTCCTTTTAACATTCAATTGTCTTCTCTCTCAACGCCTAATGCATTCTACATGAAACAAGATTTCACTTATATAACACATACGTGATTAGTTACTAATAGACCAAATCTTATGAAGAAGGAATACAACACGAGACAATAAATGATAACATGTATCCATATCTTCGTGTTGGTGTAATGTTATTACAGAATTTCTTTGTTGTCTTACATTATATTTACTATCTAAATGTTTGTTTCCGGTTCAATTTGTTTTTTAATTCATTTTTCCTTGTATTAGATTTTCAAATTTTAGCACACAACCAGCATTCAAAACAACTCTACTTATGGAAGTGTACATGAATGATTATTAAGCCCTCAGCTAGCAGTTGTTGGCTCTTGTTTGACAGGTCAACTAAAAAATATTTCTGAATCAAACTGTAAATTTCAAATATACAAAGACAGATATGCATTATCGTATCTAAAGTCAAATAAACTTATGATTATTAAGACAATCAAATGAAAGTTATTGGGCAAAACCAAATATCTTGGAATATGTTGCTTCTTTTGTCTCTTGTAACGGGTTTAGAAAATGCTGTACCTATATCATAATACCTTATAGGATTAAATAACCATAGAGACGTTGATGCGTCGTGTTCCAGTACACGTAAGGATTTGACGAGGGCATGGATCTATCTAGGTACTTTTGTGACACTTTTATCGTTTTATTCAGTCTTAAATATCTAATTTGGATAACAAAAACTACAATCACATAAAATATATGTTTCTTTATGAAATGTTTACTGTTGTATCGAGAGGGAAAAACAATAAAATAAAAGGTGAATTTTGTCACATATTTAATGTAAATATGAGGAGTGTTTTCTTTGTCAAATTAAGGGTAAACATTACCATATATGGCTACACGACTATATGTAATGTATATTTAATAAAACGCATTGAAAGATTATAATAAAGTATATTTAGAAACGAGTGATGAACAAAATCTCACGTGCCTATATTTTAATTGTTTGTATACTTTTTTTGTGCAATTTAGCCAGAGTAACTTTTCATCTTTAATGCAAACTACCAAAATTAAAACGGACGGCACATTTTTTATTTTCGGGTCCATCGCATTTTCTGATTTTATGATCTTTCATATACAATTTTCAAGTTATGTAAAAACTTATGTGAAAATGATGATATATTACAGCCTTAATTAAAATTTTGCGGATAATCATTAAGCGGAAGTATTTAACGGTTAATATTCTCGAAAATGGATAAAACAGTTTCACCATCAAATGCTATTTTCGTGTTTTATATTTCATTTTGTAATTGGGTCTTGCAGACACACTGACATCATTATCATACGAGAATTATACTCAGTATTTTCCATACTTCCGTAGCATGTGACTTACTGAGTCAGAGGTTTGTCATTTCATTGAAATATGTATTGAAATGTAAGTACCGGTCCCAGTACATGTATGGTTATTGGAAAACAAAGTAATGACTTTTAATTTGGAAGATTATTAAGGAAATTTCTTATTGTTACAGTAGAGAACAATAATCTATTCATAGTTGACGTATATAAGTCATATATTTACTTATGCATTTTATGTATTAAGGATGTTTATTATTGTTAAGGTAGATAACAATAATCTATTTATAGTTAATGTATAAAAGTAAT